CACACACAGCACACACACACACACTCACAGCACAGAGAGTGAGTGAGTGAGACAGGGAAAAGGGGACCACTCTTCACACTTCACCATCTTTTACGCTAGTCAAGTCAATCCCGTTCCATCCCAGGAGGCGACTAGCAGCTTGTGACTTTTACATCTCGACTTTTCACTCTCACAAACCGCACTCCATTCTCCGCTTTCTCTCTCACACACACACACTACACACTCACAACTCAACTCGACGCTCAACTCACTCACCGACACACTCTCACCTCACACCTCACCCCCTTACCCGACGCCTTCAACGCTGCTGCATCGCGCGCACTGCATAGCCGACAACCCGTTCGACTCCGATCGTCGTCTTCGATCTCACCACCACCTACGACCAACAGCGCCCAGTACCGAGATAGCAAACTCGATAACCGCAGACTCCTCTCTCCCTTCCCCGCGATAGGCTGCCTCTTCCCAGCAGCCCCCCATTTTCGGCTCCGTACATTTGAGAGAACACTTTGAGAGAGAAGAGAGAGAGAGCCCCTGCAGCTGCGCGCTCTCACTCACTCACTCACTCACTCACTCCAATCCCCGCCTACGCGCCTCCTTTCACTCTCATCGTGAGAGGGCCGACTAATCTCATCCAACGACCGCTCATCAGCGCATTTTCTCTCTCACGACACGAAACATCGACAACGACATCACCAACTTCCAACGACGTCAACCAACGTTTGATGCCCAAGACGACCTCCCAATCGCAACCCAATTCACCACAATCAGGTGTCCCGAGCAATCACTGAAAAGAAACAGGCCGCGCATCGCTTTCCTCCCCCCACCGATCCCCATCCGTCTCTACTCGCCAGAGACGGATCTTTCGAGTAGCCCTGGAGGCATACGACGCCTCTGCAGGCGTCCTCGTGCCAGGCTTTGGCCTCGGTTCGGCGGTGCTGAATCCCTTTGAGCATCCGCCCCTCGACTTCGTCCACGATCCTTACCACCTAGTAGGGGGCGACAACGACGACGACGACGAGGACCAGGTCTCCTCCCTCTCCTTCGGCTTCTCCTCCGACTTTACGCCAGACTTTACCCTCGGCCCCGACGCCGACGCCGCCTCCAACTCGGAATCGGCATCTTCGTATCTCGGGAATCATCACCAACATCACCAGTCAAACTATCTCAACCAGCATCATCATCATCATCATCATCAACAGCACTACCAACACAGCGCCGCAGACACCATGAACTTGCCCAGCTCCCACATCCCGCCCCGCCGCAGCGCGAGCATCCACTCCCTCACCCCGTCGCGCGACCTGCTCGTCAAACCCAAATCCCCAGAGAAATCCGCCGCTGCCGCCGCCGCGACCGCCACCAAATCAAAACGAGTGCGGACGGGTTGTCTAACGTGTAGGGAACGGCATCTAAAATGTGACGAAGGGTTACCAGACTGTCTAAATTGTCGAAAAAGCAGTCGAGAATGCAAACGCGGCGTGAGGCTTAATTTTATAGACGTGCAGGTCAAGAAACCGCCGTACATGCCCCCCACTGTGGAGTGGTCAGGTGAGTTGCGAATGCCCTCATTTTCAACGACTGCCCATTTCCGTCGGCCACTCATTCTCTCTGTGCATCACTCATCTTCTCTTGAAGAAAGAGGACGAAAAAATGGTCACATAGAGTACTTGGACCTCCATGCTAACGAACCTACAGTCCAATTCCAAGATGAATCGAGGCTCATCGCCTCAGAGTATGTCGGAGGCCTCGGCCGGTACGCTCATCTTGATAAAAAGGCCGCCGTCGCCCCTCCGCCACGGCATCTAGGCCATCTAGAGCCGACCCTCCGGCACCAATCCCACCTCCTCCCACACGCAAGAGCAAGCGGCCCAGACGCCTCCGTCTCACCGAGAACTCACCTCCTCCACCACCCACCACCACCGCCGCCGCCGCCCCCGTCGTACAGCCACCACCCGTACTATCGCGAACCCCCTCCCCCGCGAGCAGGAGTCGGAGGAGGACCCATCGAGTCATCATCATCATCATCAGCCTACCCGCGCCGCGAGAGCGAATCCGCCTACCTCACGCCCCAAAACTCGGCTCACCAAGCACAGGCGGCACCTCACCACCCCTACAGCCTCCACGAGCACTTCGCCTCGTACCGCGACACCGGCGCCGGCGGCATCCCCAACAGCCGCGCCCACGGCCACCACCGCGACAGCGACGCCTCGAGCGCGGCCTCCATCGTCCCGCAACCCACAGCGCCGCCACCAAGCTACCGCAGCAGCGCCGCCGCCGCCGGAAATCCCTTAGCCGTAGACGGCATGATGACCCCCCCACCGAGCGAAAAGGCCACCGCCGGCGAGCGGGAGTACCTCAACTCCCCCGAGGAGATCCTCTACATGCAAGTGTTCGTCGAAGAAGTCGGCGTCTGGATGGACTCGCTCGACAAGGAGAAACACTTCTCCCGCCTGATCCCCTACCACGCCCTCAAATCCCCCATGCTCCTCAACGCCTTCCTCGCCTGCGGCGTAAAGCACCTGACGCTCGTCAACCCGGCCTACGAGGACGATAAAGCCCTCTTCTACTACGACACCGCCACCACGCAGCTCCTCCGCAGCCTGCAGAACCCGGACCGCAACACGGGCGAGTGCGCCACCACGGCCGTCGTCCTCAACGTCTACGAAATCATGTCCGAGAAGCCCGCCCAGCGCATGAACCACATCGCCGGCGCCCGCGCCCTCATCCGCGAGTGTAAGTGGGACGCCCGGTCCTCCGGCATCGGCGCCGCGTGCTTCTGGCTCAACATCGGCATGGAGGTGCTCTCGTGCCTCGCCTTCAACTGGCAGACGTCGTGGGATCCCGATCAGTGGGGTCTGGATACGAATTTCACCAACGAGGGATGCGGTCCGGCTGGGTCGGCGGCGGCGGCGGCGGCATCGAGGTCCGGTGATGGCTTTGGACAGGAGGAGGTCTGGGTCCATCGGATCCTGTACATTGTGGCCAAGATTGCAAACTTCCGCGCCACGATCCCGCGGTTCCAGGAGCCGAGCCCGCACGACGAGCAGATCCGCCTGGGTAACCGACTCCAGCAGTGGCAGGATCTCAAGAAGCTCTGCGACAAGTGGAACAACACCTGCCCGAGGACGATGCACCCGTTCGGATACCTCTACCCATCGCAGACGAACTCCAAATCCGCCTTTCCCAACGTCTGGTAAGTCTCCCTCACTCCTCTTCTTCCTCCCCCCCAAACTTGTCTTCGTATCTAACAAATCTCACAGGCTCATCAAACGCGCCGCCATAATCGGCCGCCTCTTCTACCACACAGCCCAGTGCCTCCTCGCCCAAACGAACCCAATGGAACCAGGCCGCGCCTCGGAAGAAATGCGCGCCCTCCAGCTCCACCACGCCCACCAAGTCTGCGGCATCGTAGCCCACACAAAAGACCGCGGCGTCGCCTCCGTCGCGATCCGCTCCCTCGCCATCGCCTCCGCCGTCCTCACCGACCCGCGCGAGCAGGAAGAGGTCCTCGAGATCCTCGACAAGATCCACGCCGAGAGCGGGTGGCGCCTCGGCAGCATCCACGGCGAGCTCAAGAGGGCGTGGGGGTGGCCCTCGCCCGCGCCGTCGCACGCTTCTCTCAGTGGTCCGGCTGGCGGTGCCGGTGCTCCTGGGGACCACCGAGGTTCCGTGGGGAGTTATGGCGGTGGGAGACCGGGCCCGCCGGGGAACCCGCCTGCCATGGCGACGTCGAGCGCGCCGTCGGCGTCGAGCGCTGCTGCTTCTGCGCCGATGAAGGCCCTCGTGAACCCGCTCTCGTACGCCGACTTTAGTTTGCCGAATGCCCCCTACAAAGACTGGTGGAAGCCGCCGAATCGCCATGATTCGTACAGCTACCAGGGTTTCCCATGATGACCTCTTCTTTCGCTTCTTTTTTACTCTTCTTTCTTCCAAGTTGGCTTATCTTTTTTTTTCCTTTTCTTACTTTACTATTTTGTTCCAACTCGTTCCCTCCTTCCAACGAAACCGTAAGAGAGGGAAAGGACGGATTCATATATATAATATTCTTCAAGAAAACAGGAGGCGGATATTTGCTCTCCAAACGTTTCAACATCGTGGATTACCGAAAACCCAAAAGAGGGCTGGCACTGGTTTGCTAACCCACCCTACCTTACGATTACGACTCCCTTTATCCTCTCTTCTCTTTTATTTGGAACTTCTTCTCTTCTACTGCATCATCTGTTTCATGCAAAGGCTACAATTGGGAGAGGAGGGCACCGCGGCTTTACAGGACGGCCGGCAAAGCATTGCGTCAGATAGGACGGGTCCCCGCCCCTGGTTGAGAACAACTATGGGGATATGTTTGGAGAGAATTGCAAATGGACAATGGGAAATGTGGGCGTTCCGGCACTTCACACGGAGACAAAGGGGGGAAAGATGGTTTTTATGCTGAGATGCGCTCCAGCACTTTGAAGAGGCTCCAATGGTTGGGAGACCCCAGAATGCTCTGCAAAGGGCACCGATACCATGAGATATTTACTATTATTCTATCTTGGGCACACACTTTTGCTCCTTTGTTTGCTCTTCTTACAGTTCATCATACACAAAGCACTCTAGGGTTAAGGAACTGTCTTTGATCGTTGTCTGCATTATCTGGTATCTTGTTTTATTCGAATGGGAAAGGGGATGTTGGGGTTCTGTCTAACGCGGGAGGGAATCTATCGCAATGCCAATGCTCAAAAAGCAAATGTTAAGCGCTCAGTGTCTTGACACCAAGAACTTTCTATGGAAAAAAAGTTGATTTTCCTTCCCTTTCCAGACTCATCTTCTATTGACGTGCCCAAAATCCATCGACCCATTCGTCCAATCGTCGTGAAATCCGTTTGTCCCATCTATCGCCGTTTCTTCGTGAAAATTGCTCAACAAAGAGAAAAGAAGGCAAGAAAACTCAAAGTCTGCGGGGTTAAGCTAGGAATTATGCCAAGCCACGTTCCAAAACTTTCTTGCTTGCTGAAGGCAGTGCACTAAGCAGAGCCGTTGGTGTTGGTGACGACGCTGCCGCTGACGTTCTCCTTCATGAAGGGCTCGTTGTCGACCTCAATGGAAGGGATGGTCATGCCAAACCTCTCGTAGGGGAAGTTCTCGAGAGTGGGCAGGTACTCGGCCCAGCCGTCGTCAATCTCGCCGACCTGGTGCATGTCGACCTGGCCGGCCTCGCCAGTGCGGCCAGCGAGGACCTCCTTCTCGCGGCCGGCGTACTCCTTGAGGAGCATCTTGTGAGGGCACCAGATGACACGCATGCCGGCGCGGCGACCAGCCTCAACACCGGGAACAGAGTCCTCGAAGACGAGGCACTCCTCGGGGGTGATGGGCTTCTCGCCCTCGGGAAGAGACTCGTTGATGGTCTTAAGGGCCAGAAGGAAGATGTCGGGGTTGGGCTTGCCGCGGCCGGGAGCAATGCGGGTGTCGTCACCCAGGACACGGCGCTGGGAGGGGAAGACTGAGAAGAGCTCAGTCAGGTGGTCAGACTTGAGCTTGAAGTTCGCCTCGTGGGAGGAGGTAGCCAGGGCAATGTGAACGCGCTGAGCAGTCTTGCCGTCAGCAGTGGCGGGCTTGTGGTCGAAGTAGCGGGTGCGACCGAGGTTCTGAAGGAGCTGGGGGATGCCGGGGAGAGGCTTGGTGGAGGGGAAGATCTGGCGCTGGAGAGCGGACAGCTTCTGGTGGTACTCCTCATGGGTAATAGGGAGCTGAGCCCACTCGTGGAAGATGCGAGTGGCGTCAGGACCAGGGCGGCCCTGAAGCTTGGCCTTGATGTTCCAGGGAAGGAGAGGGCGGCCGTACTGCTCGAGGACGATGTTGATGCAGGCGGTGTAGAGGTCTTCGGTGTCGAGGAGGAGGCCGTCCATGTCGAACAGGCAGGCCCGGATGGGAGGGAAGCTATGTCAAGATCAGTCAATTGGTTCGTTGAGGCTGAAGGAGGAGAGAAGACTTACTCGGTGCGAGGAGCCATTGCGACGGCAGGCAAGTTGCAGAGGTGATGTGATGAATGTCAAGTGCGAAGGTAAGAGAGAGGAAGAGGGGGTAGCAATTGAGTATCCTCGAGACAATTGTCGAAGGAGCAATGGTAGAAGGAGGAGTGGTTGAGGGTGGAAGAGGTCTGAAGAAAAGGAAGAATCTCCAGTTGGGGGTATCACGAGGAAAGTTTGTGGAGGTGAAGAAAAAGGCGGAGGATTTTTCTTAGCAGCAGCCAAAATAGGCCTTTTGATCCTTTCTCGGAAGGACCTGAGTCAACAAAGTGAATTTGAGGGACGGAAGGAACAATGGACAGGAAGCCAAAGGTCAAACGGGCAGGGGCGTTCAGGAACAACGGCGGGGTGAAAACGGAAGCGGAAGGCACCGATGGAGGGGTCGCTCAGCTCTTTCCCGAATAAAATGGCGACCAGATGGGGAAGTGGGGTCCCAAGTATCCCCGTACACTGTACCTATACTTTCTGTGCCGTCTTGACACTGTACTCCGTACATCGTAGCAAAAACAACTAACAAGTACTCGAGTCACTGTACCTAATACAAAGGGTTTCGACTCTTTATGGGATACTTAGAGTAACGGAAAACATTTGAGTCAAATTTTGTCTTCGCTGTCTTTTCTTCTAATACCGACAGCCTTAATTGTACTGTCGCTCACCTCGGATTCAGGAATCAGTATCTTCTCATAATAGGTACAGTTCAGGCGACGGCGCATACTGTACCCCCTCATGGTGAATCGATTGGATCCCAGCGAGTCCAGCCGCTGAAAGACCCCTAAAGCGCTGTATTACAGGTACCTTTAGCGAATTGGGTCAGCAGAATGTGGCTTCCACCGCCCGAAAACATGTGAACAGCCTCACCGTCCCACCCCACCAAATCCACGTGGGGACGAGACACCTCAGTGACGACATTCCTGGGGCTGCCTTGCCTGCACCTTTGACTCAGCTTGACATCTATTCTCAACGTCAAACGAGTCTACAACAACTCGCTGCTGCCTTCAAGATGGCGTCCAAGGAGACAGAGAAGGAGCCTCAGGGTAAGGGCAAGAACACGCCGGTCAAGGATGAGCCTGAAGAGGTCCAGGAGAAGTTCTCTCCTGAAGAGGAGGCGGTAAGGCAAATTGTTCCCTTGCTCTCATTCTATGCATTTTAGACTTCCCGAGTTACAAGCTCTTCGAGTATTCAAATGAAATCACATGAAGCCATGGCTGGCAAGTGCCGAATCCCTCAATCTCATACCACCCCTACGATGAGCTCAACACTCACCTCAATGACCATGAAAAAGCTACTCCAACCTCGATCTCAATCCCTCACATCTAACACAACCCGCAGTCCCTCCTATCCGAATCCAACACCCACAAAACCGAAGCAAACGCCCTCTTCACATCCTCCCAATACACCTCCGCCATCGCAAAATACGACGAGGCCGTCTCCGTCTGCCCAAACTACCTAGACTACGACCTCGCCGTCCTCCGCTCCAACATCTCCGCCTGCCACCTCAAACTCTCCCAATGGAAAGACGCAATCTCCTCCGCCTCCGCCGCGCTCGGCTCCCTAGACCGCATCGACAAGGAATCCGCCCTCGAGCAGGAACGCCGCGAGAAGCGCAAGGCCGAAGAGGAAGAGGGCGTGGAGGAGGAGATTGTCAGCTCGGGCGCCAGCGCCGCCGCCCCCGCGCCCGTCACCTCCGCGGAAGATGAAGAGGAGGTCGCGCGTAGGAAGAGGGCGGACGACGTCCTGCGCATTCGAGCGAAAGCGCTCATGCGGAGGGCGAGGGCGCGGAGCGAGGAGGGCGGGTGGCAGAACCTCGCGGGCGCGGAGGAGGATTATAAAGCGCTGGCTGAGATGGGGAACCTCGCGGCCGCGGATCGCAAGATCGTGCAGACGCAGTTGAGGGTGTTGCCGCCGAGGACCAAGGCTGCGCAGGAGGCGGAGACGGCGGAGATGTGGGGGAAGCTCAAGGATGTGAGTTCTGAACGTGAAATTCGAGAGATTGCTGTGAAAGTGTTGCGCTTGCTAACGTATGAATACAGCTGGGCAATGGCATTTTGAAGCCGTTTGGACTGAGTACGGATAACTTCCAGATGGTCAAGGATGAGAAGACGGGAGGGTATTCGATGAACTTCAACCAGGGTCAATGAGTATAGGCGCAGACTACCACAGTTCGTCGGTTTATCTATAAAGAAACAGCATCGTTTCGCGTAGGCATGAGAGAAGCGATGGCATCATAGAAACACAGGAAGCTCATAAGCATAGCTCATTTAGGCGAATAACCTAATTTCTCGTTCATGTTGCTTTGGGAAAGATGATTACTTATCCTGTGAAAGTTTGCAAAGGGTTGAATTGCTCAACTCTGCAAATGTGTCTATCAAAAGCATATCGTTCATCTTCTAATACAATAACAGTAAGCACAAGCCAAAGTGGCCCTTGTTGGTATTAATGCATTAATTCACGTTATTCATAGGGTTGTTTTCCCAAAGTCCTCCATTATCCCTCTCTTCCTCCCTCCATCCTTCATTTGACACTTCGTCCGTGATATACCAAAACAATGACCATCTCCCTGGTCAATTAGGTGTAGATACTCTCGGTAATCTGGTTCACCTGGAGCCCCTTTTCCGCCATCTCGGCGTCCCGCAAAAAGTCGAGCGGGAACCAGACGAGGTGGCCCTTGATCTGGTCAATCTTTTGCCGCGCGTCCGCCGCCGGCATGAACTGGTCGAAAATGTGGCCCGCCTTGACGCCCTTTGGCGGCAGGTATCTGTCGTAGTCGTCAAAGGTTTTGACTAAAGGGAATGTTAGCTCTGATTCAATACTGCACAATGCGAGAGGGGAAAACCTACTGTGGTCATCAGGATCGGCGTGGAACAGGTGACGGTACAGATCCGTGTTCCGCGTAGCGTTGCCCGTCCACATCTCCCACAGCTCGTCGTTCATCGGATCCTCGACAAACTTCCACGTCTCGTCGCGGTCCCACGGGTCATTCTCCGCGTGGCCCGGCGGACGCGCGTTGGGGTCCTGCGACCCGTCCAGGTCCTGCGCGGGCAGAAGACCAAGATGCTCGCGCCACAGGTACCGGCGCAGCGACGTCGCGTGCCACCCGGCCTCGTAGGGCTTCCCGTCCATGGTGCTCGGCACGCGCTTCGTGTCCTCCATGACGATGCTGAGCTCGCTGTCGTGGTATCCCAGCTGGCTGCGGTCGTTGAGGTTGCTGGAGCCGCAGACGACGATGCGGTCGTCGACGATGAGCAGCTTGGAGTGGATGTAGAGCTCCTCCTGGATCCAGTTGCGGATCTCCGTCTCCGGGTCCTCGTCCTCCCACGGCTCGTCCTCGATGGAGCCGGAGTTGGCCATGGCGTGCTGCGCAACCGAGGTCTTGTTGTTGAGCTGCGCGTCGCCGAGGCTGGCTTCGAAGCGCTGCTTGGCGTCGATGGCATTTTGGGCTTCGGTGGTCTTGCCGCCGCCGACTTGTTCGGCCTTGGCGCCCATGTGCTCGTCGCGCTCCTTCTCGGTGGGGTCGTTGATGCCGTGGATTCCCGTGCCCATGACCTCTTCGGCTTGCGCGCGCTGCACCTCGGCGTACTTGACGCCCGTGTCCTTTTCTCTCTTCTCCACGGCGGATGTGCGGTTGAGACGGTCGTATGATCGCAGGTTGAAGAAGAAGATGTGGTTTCTGGGGTCGATGCCCTCCTTCTTGACCTGCTCGAAGATGGAGTGCTCGCCGCGGCAGATTGACTTGTACTGGTAGTCCATGATGGCACGAGTACCGGTGGCTGCATCGTCTCTGAGATCGCCGGCGAAACCGGGAATGGCGGGGATGAGGACGATGACGCGGAACTTACGGCCCTCCTTGCCAGCCCTCACGACGGCATCGACAATGGCTCGGCCGATTCGGTTGTGGATCGGTGCCTGCTGGTCGCCGGTGGCGGTGATGAAGAACTGGTTCTCAATGTAGACAAAGTGCTCGGCCTTGCTGATGATCTCACAGTAGGCGTTCTGGATCGAGTGGTCGGTCAGGATACCGCTGGACCAGTCGGCGCTGGACCGCACGATCTGAGCGTGCATGGATCCCTTGTTCTCCAGGTTCGACAGGCTCTTCTCGTCCAGAGGGTGGGTGAGGTACTCTCCCACAGGATGCTTAGGTCGTTGGACTCCCACAAGATCCTCGTCTTCGGCCAGACGGCCGCGCAGCTGGATCCAGTCGAATCGGTCGTCGCGCTTGTACTTGTCGCGCTTCACAAAGTTCCAGCGCAGGACAAAGTGCTCGGCAATGTCGTAGACGCAGGGGCCGACGACACCCATGGATACGTCGTGCCAAGGCATGCGCCCGTACTCGGCCTTGCTCAACTCGTTTTGCTTCCAGTCCTGGACATTTTGGAAATCCATGATTCTGTTGTTGTTGAAGTCCTGTCCCGGCCAGACCTCGTTGTGGACGCCCTCGGGATGTGCGTCAGCGAGAGGGTGGGTATGGCTGTCCCAGCGACCGAAGCACAGATCGAGACCTCCGATGAAGGCCATGGCATAGTCAATGACGATAAACTTCTCATGATGGGCCCAGTAGAATGTCATATCGGCGCCGTTGGAGAGGACATTGTGATCGGGATGGCGCATAATCTTGATGTTGCCGTAGCCAGGCGAGCCCTCGGGGCACAAAGCTTGCAGGGCATGCTTTGTGTGGGCAGAATTGCAAGTCAGGGCGGCCTCGACTTCACGGTAGACAATGATGTGAATCTGGACGCCGGCCTCGGCGCGGCGCTTCAGGACCTGGTCCAATCTCCATTCCTTGTTGTGGTGAGGGGGACGGCGCAGGAAGAGCTCAGGGGACAACCACCAGTCGCAAATGTAAATGGTCTCCTTTGCGGCCTCGAGAGCTTCGGAGACGGCCCAGAAGTAGTCGCGGCCGTCGACGTACCACTTGATCAGGTTGCCGTCGCGCTCCGGGAAGAAGGACTTGAAGCGGTGCTCCTCTCCAATCTTTGTCCGCTTGTCGTCGGTGGCCTTTTCGTGCTCCTCGTCGTGGCGGTGGTTGGCGTTGAACTGGAGCGCGTGTCAGTTGTGCTGGTCGCTCCAGGCGGCTAGCTTTCCCAGGTGGAATGAGCTTCAACGGGGAGGAGAAGATGGTCTTACAAGGTTGGCAAGCTTGCCAATCTGGTGTTTCTTATGCACAAGATGGACTTTTGCGTCATGGAGGTGGGTGCCCTCTAGCTTGTCCTCCAGCTCGCGGAATGGCTTCTTCAACTTATCCATGAAACCGCCGCCGCTCCCGCTTTCTTCCTTCTTATGGCCATGGTCGCTTGTGGTCATGAGCCCCATGATTACGGTTTGTTGCCCTGGGCGCTGAACGGAGGGTATGTTCGAATGGAAGAATTGCGCAAGCTGCGAATGTTGGTATCTCTAGATCATGAAGTCGTGGAGAACGGAACGGATAGTTAAAGTTGAAGTTAATGGGTGTGGCTGGTGTGGAGGGGTATCATAGGATGCGCGGGGTACACTGAATGGCGGGGTGAACAAGTTGAAGCATTCCAGCCCAAGTATGCAGCACTCGGATGGGGAAAGGCCAGTGGAAAGTGTTTAAGCTTCGTGTAGCTTGGACTTGTAGGTGTGGGAATAGGTTCAGGAGGAGGGAGAAGAGAAGACGAGACGGAGGAAGAGAAGGAGGAGAATGGCAATGGAGGGACGGCGCGTGGGATGGGGAAAGTAGTAAAGCTTGGAGGGAAAGCTTGAAATTAGAAACCCCGGGCTATGTCATTCCCGTCACTCGTGCGCCGGCGGGAGAACTAATCAAGCAGGTTAATTGGGGTGCGAGGATCGAGAGTAGTTCGGCCGGAAGCAGGATCCAAGGCCAAGGAAAACGAACAGAAAATGGAACTCTCACTCGTGCACTTTGGGAGAAAAGTGTGGGCGCAACGCCGGGACGGGGGGGAACGACACACACGACGATTGTTGGTGGTGAGACACGACAAGACTACGGATAGGTACTTTTGAATAGCGCAGGATTTGTATGCAGAACCAAGTACCTCTCACCCACCTCGGTATCGGGCCTGCGTACGTGCAAACAGGCACGCAGTCATACCTTATGGAGCACTGCAGCCACGGATAATTACTGTACAGTTGCACTCGATTTCAAGGCGGGGCAAATGTGACGATCCGCTGGGTCGAACGACTCGGGTCTTGGACGACAATTATCCATGCCTCGCAGCTTGTGCCTGTGATGATCCGGATGCAAGAATCCAGCCCCTGTCCAGCCCGTCAGGGACACCATCGAATCCAGCCAAGCTCCCACCCTCCATCTGCCAGTCTTTGGGAGAAAACGATCCCGAGGCCCAAGAGGAGCATGTCTTGGGACCAGTAGACCAGCAAACCGAGCATGCAATGCCACGCGTCTTGCGCCTCCTCTTTCAGCCGTTGGGACCACAGCTCGGAAGGCTGGCGAGAGTCCGCAGCTGAACTCAATTTGAAAGGCTCCAGTGCTCAGCTTAGCAAGGGCTCGCGTGCCCCTGGATGTCCGGGTCATATCACAGCCATGAGACTCGAGCCAGACATTTAAACACCAATCTCGCCCCTTTCCCTGGCAACGTCTTTGGAATTGGAAGCATCTGGTGGGCTGAAGGCTGCAGAAACAAAAACGTAAAAGAACGCCTGCCCCGCGCTCGGTGCGCCGGTCACAGGGAAGGTCCCGTCCGTTTTGGCGGTTTGAATTGGTCAATGGAACGCCGTCATTGGTTTCTTGCTTGAGAGGTGGGGCCTGCTACTCTATTTTGGTCCTGACGTCATCTCCAGCACGTCAGTCACGGTACGTACATTTCTGATAAGATTGATCCGGCGGATCTTATCGATAAGTCCCAGCTGCCCATCACGTCGAAAGCCGCATCTTCTGCCCTGCTATCAACTGCGACATGCATGTGTTGCAGCTCCTTTAAAATGTCGAGTCCTGGTCGCACGACAGCCCGGTACGATGCATAGGGGGAAATAGAGCATGGCACATGTGCCGAACTCCGGCTTGTCCTTGTCATGGCGCCATTGCGAGCCGCCTGTCGCAAGTTTGCATTGGTCTGGACTGGTACCGAGCGGAAGGGTGGAAACCTGAATTTTGGCGTTTCTGCATCTTTGGCGGACGACAGCCGTGACGTCACAATATCGGCAGATCGTACTGCCATTGTTCCTCGGGAATACCCGCCCATTGATCGTATACCAGGGAGACGGAGGTCCAGAGTCAATTGGACTTTTCTGAGGATCTGATGTTGTGAATTTTGAGTTTTGGGGTTGGGTTTAATGTGGCCTTAAATTTCTAGGTGAAGTGCTACGCATCATGGCTTCAAGTGAGCCCATGAGACTTTCTTTACCTACTGAGACCACTCTATGAAGCATATTCGAATCATGAGAGTGCGCTTTTCTCAACGGATGGTGTGTCTGGACCAATAACTGAACCGTTGAATCTTTGAATTGCCGAGCCTCATGCCCTTACTGCCACCACGAAACGACCGCACTTCGTCGCAAGCATCGTCTCTTTGATATAGTTGTTAATTCTCAGGAGATCCGTCACAGACACGCTTGCGCAGAGTTTCTGGGCGCGGCATCAGGTCTGTTAGATCCGATCGTGTTTATCATCAGCATTCCTTGATCTACATTAGGACACATCTAGGTCCTGTCTTCCCACGTGTATCTGCCCATGCGCCCGCGCTACCGTTAACCGTCTTGTCTTGAATAAGCACAGCTTCAACGTCTGAATTGCGTCCTCCATGTCTTGTTTCAATGACCAAGGTAAGACAACCATGACAAGACAACCGTCCATCATTCCAGCTTCCCAACCCATCAGTGAAACACCAACGCCCGGATATCGATACTCTGCCGACACTCCATCTCATCCATCTCCGGGTCCCGAAAAGCACAATGCGCAGCCCTCCGAACGACCGACGTATCCGAATCAAAACACTTGATGAACAACGCCTCATCCGGCTTCTGCCCATCCAAAAAGTACCACCGGTGCGCCGGATTCGGCTTAATCGTCCACGTCTCGGCCCGGTGACGGGGATAAATAATCGCGCCCGGGACAAGGTCCTCCTCCGCGACCGTAGTCCCGTCCGCGACGGCCAGCGGGTCCCGCCGCACCGTCGCAATAGGCCGCCAGATGTTGATGATCTGGAACCGGCGCTTCTCCTTGTCGAGGAGTCTGCCGGCTTCGTCCGCGCCGAGGTGGTGCCTCGCCATCATGACGGCGCCGTCGTAGGACTGGTCCACGTGCGCCTTGTGCAGGGGGCCGCGGTGCTCCGTGTTGCGTTCGCCTAGGCTGTGCCAGTTTGCCGGCCCGCGGCGGATCTGGTGGTTGAAGATGACGACCCGGCTTGCTCCCGTGCTGTTGGTGTTGACCCCTGGTGAGCATGGGCCCTCAATTGTGAATGCTGGCCCCCACTGGTGTATATAATAAACCTTACACCGCCCAAAAGCTGCCCACTTTGCGGCCGGCTTGGATAAATGAAAGCGTGCAAGACTTACATTTCCTTGTACAGCTTCTCCATCTCGGGATAGTAGACGCCCTTGACCCGTTCCTCGTCTGTAAAGTCCGTCTCAACGCTAGTGTGGCGGACGTACTGGAAGCCGTGGGTGTCGAGGGTGTACTTGTCCTCTTCGCCTCTGATGTCGGAGACGGTGACGGTGCGAGGTGTCATTTTCCTCTCATTTGTGACTTTCTGACTGGAATTGAATAAAAGGCATGAGTATTTCGAGCTATTGACACGGTACTCGAGAAATGTGAAGTCTTGTAAACAAGGATATTAAAAAGCGGCCTTACCCCCCTACAACGATTGGGGTGGGAGGGGTTCCATCTCCAGGGTCGTCATAGTAGTTTATGATCGTGACGACTGCACGTCTCTCTGGTCTTTCGGCTTCTGTGGACTTGATCTGTGCCGTGTCCGGCAGAGGCTGGTGATTTGTTGTTCCCACGGCCATGATTTTATCTCTGATGCTATGATATCGTACCACAAGACAACTGTCTCAATTGATGAGGTGGGTTTTGAGACTCGGGTCGTCCCGCTGTGTATTGTCTGTAATGTACTTGAATATGTGCAGATATGTACGAAGATGACTTAGACGACAGAGTGTGAGCAACTAGCAATGAGAAGACCAAGGCATTGAAGGCAAGATACAGAAACCAAAATAAACGCAAGGGAGCATCTCAAGATGAGAAACACAGTGGTCCCTCATCTACGAACTGGAGATTTGCGAGCGGAGTCCCTGGCAGCCGGCGGCACGGCAGAGGGAAGAGGGCCGACTGGACGGAGCTCCGCCTTCTCCTTTTTCCGCGACCCCGCGATGGACTGTGCCCCATGCGTCCATGCACTGTCCCGATAGCACGTGATTGGGGTTGAACGGAATGAGGGGTAATCATTATCCGCACTGTACCGACGTATCAGGAACGAGCAGCCGGTCAAGTGGATCCGACAACCCCACTGTGACAGCTTGGGCTTAGCGCGTTGGATCTCCAATGGGCGGTCCAGGTCCCAGGTGGTGGGGTTTCCAGGGAGAGGTCCCCGCCATGGCCCATGAGAAGCTCCTGCTGGCTGCTGCTGCGGTGGTGCTGCTATTGCTGTCCGGGTTGCTGCGTATGCGTGGCTTCCCGGGGGGCCATTTGCTTGACCGCCCCTCGATTCCCGTCCTGTCCCTTTTTTTGGGTTTCGCTTCTCGTCTGAACAGCTCCTGGAACATCTGCTCTTTACCTGTCTACATCTCCTCCCTTTCTTCTACGCTTCTACTCTCCTATTCTTCTTTCTCTCTCATCAAACACATCTTTCAAACACTTCAACAAACCCCCTACATCAGACACAATGGCCGCTCAGATCCCTCCCGGAGGAACCTACCTCGACACCTTCAAGAAGTCCTTTGTCGATGTCAAGCCTGACGCCGACAAGGAGAATGCCATCCCTACCTCCGACTTCCTCGATGCCTCCGAGTCTCTGACCACCATCTTCGGTATGTTCCTCCAGCACGACTGCTCTCTCTCAATACCAGAGGAGACACCGAGCCTTTGATGGTTTCCATGTCTCTAACGAATATCCCCTCTTCTAGATGCCCTTGGAGGCGTTGCTTTCGGTCCCGTCAAGAGCGACATGGGCGGCAACATCAAGGTACGACTTCACTCCTCTCGATACCCCCGACACCCTTCACCACATGTTCCGAATCATTCCTTGTCACGAAGCTCAGATACTACCATATTCCTCCTACAACTACATCCAAGAGACGTTGACGAACAATGCCTGACTTATCCATGTACAGAAAATCCGTGAGCGCCAGCTGGCTGCTCCCGGCGAGTCCGCCACCCTTCAGGAGCTCGTCAAGGCCGAGCTGGCCACCAAGAAGCACGTTGCCACCGAGGGTCTCCTCTGGCTTGTTCGGTAAGTCTGCCTCTGAGCTCCCCGTATCACCGACAACGCAGCGGCCGAAACTAACAATACTATTCTGCCAGTGGTCTCGAGTTCACCTGCATCGCCCTGAGCCAGAACGTCGCCAAGGAGTCCGAGGAGCTCTCCGAGTCCTTCCGCAATGCCTACGCCACCACCCTCAAGCCCCACCACAGCTTCCTCGTCAAGCCCATCTTCAGCGCCGCCATGAGCGCCTGCCCCTACCGCAAGGACTTCTACGCCAAGCTCGGCTCCGACCAGGACAAGGTCGCCGCTGAGCTCCGCGTCTACCTCGCCTCCCTCGAGAAGGTTGTCGGCATCCTCAAGGGCTTCCTCGCCAGCAAGGACGCCAAGTGGTAAGCGCAAACAATGCTCTTGTGCGCGCTGACCGAGAAGAATCAAAGGCCCCCCAAAGAAAGCGGGGACCAAAAAGAAAGAGAAATAAACAACGAACAATGACGATATGATGGAAAGAACAACATGTCCTGTCAGTGTCCGCTGCGATGCTAGTACATCGTCAGCCACGAGCCAGTTTACGCAGCCTAGAAATGAATCACAACCTCGAAGCTTGAACCAAAATATTTTTCTTTGAGCTTTATGCAATCGAACAATGGCGAGCTTTCACAATCACCTTTGACACTTTTGAACTCTCCTGGAGCCATAGTACACAATGTCGAGAGTCGTGAAACATCCTTCGTATTTAACAGGGCTTGTCAGCACACTCATGGACATTTACTTCGCACAACAGACACACAACAGATAACATCCACACAGCGACAACACTCAGACCCCATTCAACACCCCATCCGATTTTCTTCAACAAAAGCAAGCTTTGATTCTTCAAACATACTGCAATATGTATTCTCCAGACCAAGTCACCGAGCAAAGCAAGTTCCAAATTCAGTTGCCGGCAGAATTGTACCTTGAGATAGCTCAATGGCTCGGCCAGTTTCAGGCCGAGACAAAGGGGCGAGAGTACGTGATAGAAACATACGTATTACCCGCCGACGATGACGTTGAGAATGACATTATTAGGGACTTGAGGGATGTAGATTTTTCAAGCACCATCATATCAGCCGCCAAGGAAATGCATCCCACAATGGCCATGCTCAACGCGGGCATGGTCAATAAGTACTACCACAAAGCGATCAACGACATTGCTCTCCGGTGGGACGCTCAGAGCGAAAACCCCAGGGCCGTCTACCACGCCGCAGTGCACAACAACGTTGATCTCCTCCGCCAGGCCCTTGAGAAGCCCGGAGCTAAACCGGACTACGTCCCACACAGCCTAGAGCCGTCTATATGGACACCACTCATGGTGGCTGCGTCTAAAGGCTATGCTCAAGTCGTGGACCTGCTTCTGCACAAGGGCGCTAATCCAGCACTAAGCTTCGCCGCCCGTCATCGTTCATGGTGGGAACCGCGCATATTTGCTGCAAGCCCAGAGTCAGGTATTGGCTTGTATGAGTTTGACAGAGACCTTTATGGGCAGCCCTCGCCCCTCCATGCCGCCATGCTGGCTCCCGAGAACGCGTTGACCATATCCAAAACTATTCTCAGGTCTCTCCCACCACGCTTCTTGGCCAAGATTTCCGATCCGCATGGACTCTTCCTTGCTATTGCTGTTGCTCGAGACCATGTCGATTTGGTGGACATGTTAATCAATCGAGGCGCAGATTTTGACCATGGAGGCATAACTAGCTTCCATATGAATACTCCGGTACTTCATCACGCCGTCTCCGGCGATATGGTTCGCAAACTGACCCTAGCAGGTGCGCCGCTACATACACCTGTCGAGTTCGGCCTCAATGCTCTCCATGCTGTCTGTCTCCGTCAGACAGATTGCTCTTCTGCAATAAGAGAGCTCGTCCGACAGGGCGTTAAGTTGGAAGAGACCACGACTAGCATAGACCTACGACCACCTCCGATCCCTCAACAGGGACCTCTCCGGAAGATCCCTCAGACAGCTCTCAATCTCGCATGTAGGCAGCTCAACGTCGCTCACATCCGAACGCTGCTCGAATTAGGCGCTCACCCACTCGGGGCATGTCTTGAGGAGAGCCCTAGGAAGAAGATGAAGGGCAGTAAGTCCGTGAAGGATAGCGAGCTCTATAAGGTGACACCCCTTCACGATTTGTTTCTACCTGACTACTTTCTCTTGGAAGCACACTATAAGAGCAATGAGGAAACAGCATGCGCCATCAAAGCGGCTTTCAATTTGTTAATAAGCCACCCTCTGGCTGTCGAAGCAGTATCGTCTTACGGGAACTTTACCCTTGGGTTCCCAAGCAGCGATCTCATGCACAGGATTTCAAGATCATTCTGGATGAGTGACTACAGTGATTACACCGGCGACTTTGGTAGGTACACCCCTCTGCAAATCTTTTTCGTTCATCCTTTCTCGGACGATCCCGAGATTCCACAGGCCATGTTCGACTTGGTAGAAGATGGTAAGGATCAGATCAACGCCATCATAAAGCCGCTCTACATCACGCCGCTCCTGGCTCTCCTAGGCCACCGCTTCGACCATTCTCTCGGCGACGCAAACTTTTACCGGCCAAAATTGCTCAAGTGGCTTCTGGAACACGGCGCCGACCCGAACTTGTGCGACAAGGAAGGCTTCTCGCCCCTCCACTATGCAGTGTTCTGGCTCGATGCTCCGGCCGTCAAGCTTCTCCTTTTACACGGCGCTCAGGTCAAGCGCGAGGACGAACTCCAGGTCATGGACGTACTGTTCGGTGGTGTATTCACCAGAGCGCATCAAGAACAAGCAAAAAGATATCGTCACTCCCGGGAAACCGAATGGGCGCGTATGGTGGAGCAAGTCGGCACAGAGTGGTCGACGCACGGCATCGGCAGTAACATTGAGCGCTGGCAGCCCGGCACGCCGCTGCCCGCATGTACGCTCTTCAACTTCGAGGGTAAGTTTATGTTCGAACTGGATGAAGAGGCTCCCGTGCCTTCAGAGCTCGTGACGCGGTGGGGAGGGTTACGTGAGGCTCTGAGGGGGGATGCTGACGAACGTAGGAAGCGGATCTTTGCGGCGCTGCTGCGAACGCCAAACGTGCTGCCCTTTTTGAAGCCCAGGGGGGTAATGGAACGTGATGGTGAGGTGAACCTTGGCGAGGACGGGTCCGGTCCTGACACGATTCGGTACAGTGTTTTGGACTGGGCGAGGGCGACGGCCCAGAAAGGTTGGTTTCTTCGTAGGATCAAGCGACTTGGAGGGGAGACTGGAGATATCCGGCCCAAGGCGAGGCTGGAGACATACGGCCGTTGTCCGTAGAAGTTTTTCTGTTCTCAGGAACGGAAGGCTGTAGGTAGACGAGATCTAAGAAGTCAAAACATTTTTCCAAATCTCTCACGTCAGAAGTGTGAAGTGATGCAACGTGTATAGTCTAGTGAGTGCAGGTGGTTAGTCGTAGAAACATCCATCAGTCCAGACCCGCAGTCTGATATCCTCCTCTTCTTCGTCCAAATTAGGTTTTCGTGTTGCATCAAGATGCCCAACACGAGATACAGGAGCAGTCTTGGAGGAGCTTGAGATAATTT